GAAAAAAATAAAAATAAATAAAATAAAGCTAAGCTATAATCTTCTCACGTCCTCCGGCGTCCCCGACGTTATGCGTTAGCTCCGAGTGATGCTAAGAGGGAGATATTCAAAATATTCGTAGTTACTTACTTTATATCTGCTATATTGGGTCTATTTTTTACCATTTTTAGAATGCAATGTCTTAGTAATAACCAATGACCTACATAAACTCACTATATTTACTTTTTAGAAAAACGCACAAGATTTGTATAAATTTTTGGTCGCCATATTGCATCCGCCATTTGGAATTTCTGTGATCCGACATCAAATTCGTTATTTTAGCGACCTCAGAAATCTTTATATTCTCATTCTTACTCAAATTTAATTATATTTATACAATTTTGATACTTTATGGTCGCCATATTGAGTCCTCCATTTTGAATTTCAACAATCTGACATCAGATTCGTGATCAGCGACCCAAAAAACCCCAGGGTACCCTAAGTCACGAAAATCGGCTGAGCATGTTCGGTATAACGACTTTTTGCCTGCTAGATCGGCTCTTTGACCCACTGTGGGATGGTGTGAGTCCTCCGGTGGAGTTTTTTCTGGTTGTTCCCGACCATTAGCTTCCTCCTCTGAGGCATTCATGTTTGTTCCGACAATTACATCCTCTACAGATCCATAATCTGAATCCTCATCCTGTTTCGGAGTTGCCTGACCAATTGAACGCATTTGGTTAACGTGTCTACGCCAGATTCGTCCGTCATCGAGAGTAATTAGATAATGGAGTTTCCCGCAACTATTTTTAATTTCGCCAAACTTCCATTTATCTCGGCCTATATAATTTCTACCTGCTACTCTTTCCCCTATCATAAATCTTTTACTATCCTGACCTAATACCTTGCTTTCTTCCTTTATTGGGAATAATAAATCTAATCTCGTGCGCATTTGCCTTCCTATAAATAATTCCGCCGAGGACTTATTAGTTGTCGCATGAGGCGCGCTACGATACTGTAGTAACATTTTACAAAGTTTTTCGTGTACATTTGCCGTATTCGCATCCATACGTCGTAAGGCGTTTTTAAGAGTTTGAACGAAACGTTCCGTTTGACCATTCGTTGCCGGATTATATGGTGCGGTATATTTAAAGTTTACGCCATTTCGTCCCAGGAATGCTTTAAATTCGGCCGATGTAAATGTTCTACCGTTATCGGTTATAAAACATTGAGGAACACCATACCTCGCGAAAATTTCTCTGCATTCATCTATAATCGTTTTTGCCGTAATATTTTTCACTATACGTACTTCTGGCCATTTTGAAAATGCATCAACTACAATAAAAAACCAATGTCCTAAGAATGGACCTGCAAAGTCCACATGGACTCGATGCATTGGAGCTGCCGAAAGCTCCCAGATGTGCTGTTCAATTTTCGGCGGGTTATTTTTGAAACTATTACACGCTCGACAATTATCCACCAGTGCCTTAATATCCTTGTCCATTTCCGGCCACCAACAATAGTTTCTTGCGATTCCTTTCATTTTGTTGATTCCAAAATGGCCAGTATGTGCCTCTTTTAATATTCTAGCGCGCAATACTTTCGGTATAACTACCCGATGGCCTCGCAAAATAATGCCCTTTCGCAACGTGAATTCAGATTGTTCTAAATTGAACCTGTCAGCGCTATGTGCCTGGGAACCAGATTGTAAGGCGACTAAAAGTCTTTGTAATTGTGTATAAAAAACTTACCTTTTAAAAAAAGGTAAAAAAAAGCACCAAGTCTAAGATCCAATTCAACCGAATATATTTTGTTACTCTATCTTTT